TGGCTGATCTGCCTGATCCTTTGTTGCTTGTTAGGCACATATACACTACCTCAACCAATCAGGTGAGTTGCATAAAAAAGTATAATTCAAAAGATACTGGAGGTTATGGGTATTTGAGGTCCCGTATTAGCAAAGTCATATTTGTTTTGTGGAGCTTATTGGCTCTGGTTAGGTTGCTCTCACCACCCAGGGAACTGCAGGGGGGTCTCAAGATGAAATCTAGATGCAGAAGATGCAATTCCCGCAACAGAACACAGGGTAGGTGCGATGGCGAAGGCAGTGTAAAAAGGGGTAATTAATTGCGGAGAGTGCGGATCTTTTGTCACTTGTTCACTGGAGGTGGATTACAAAATGGAACACAACACAGACTGGTTATTTGTTTTGTCTTATGTCAAGTCTTGGATCACGGTGATGAATTTGAGTGGTTAAATATATGGATGTACTTATTTCACATATCACTAAAGAGCACTAAATATATTGGACTCGAAGAAGAATATATATTATATCTTTTTTGTAATGTAAATGGGTAAGCCTTCTTAGTCCAGTGGTAAACTCGGTCATGTTGATTAGTAGTGCTTCTGACCTGAAAAAGAGAGGTAAACTCTCGAAAGCTCGTCTTATAAATATTATGTTAGTCCAATAAGAAAGGTATCATTGCATACTGCAATACTCCGTTTTTGGTTTTCTATCTATCTATCTAGATAGATATATATCTCTATATACCTACACACACGCACAGCCTGCGGTACACAATGTCCCCTCCCTCTGATAAAGAACACCACTTACACGGCCCCAGACTGTGTCCAATGTGTGTGGCCCCAGAGCCCTGCACTCAGGCTTCCCCAGAGTGGAGCAGAGCATGGCAGGGGCTAAGCTGGGACAGCATGCCACCTGCTGGCAAAGTCAGAGAACTGCACCCGGCCAGCAGCAGCTGAGCTCCCAGATAAACGGAGCAGCCAAACATTTACCTGCATAATATTGGGGTTTGCAAAGGCATTTGGTGCACACAAAGTGGATTTATATCCTTTGTGGCTATGGAAGAAAATATATAAAATGAGTGTACTGGTTATTTTTTTATTTTTATTGCATCCCGTTTCCCTCATCTGTCTTCATGTGAGACATAGTTGAATTTTCATATGTAGACAAAGCTGTCACTGTGTCTCACATGAACACTAAGGAAGGGAAACACAGTGACAGCTGAGCCAGAAGGCTTGTTATTTCCACAAACCCATATATTTATCATGATTGGTTGTCATGGTGATCACATGATCAGAAAAAAAAGTCAACAGATTGCTCGAACGAGACCAGTGCTATTAGTGGTAAAGTAGTCTTGGAACCTGTATGGTTCCACTATACATCATCAATTAATATTTCCTCAACATGGGGCATACCATAAATCAGGGGTGCCCATTAGGTCGATCGCAAAGCGTACACTGGTAGATCGCGATCGACTCACTGACCTGTGTCCTGTCCTCCTGCGGTGTTTGTGCGGCTGAATGTGTCAGACGCCAGAGACGGGAAGGGGCGGGACACCTCTCCTCGTGTGCAACGTCAGCCACATTCGGTCACCCAAACACTGTGCGAGGTCAGGACGCGGGCACATGAGAGGAGGAGACCCAGGAAGCTGCTGCAGTGGAGGTAAGAAAAGATAGACAGGAGAGAGACATCAGAAGAAGAGAGAAGAGAGACGGCAAAGAAAGTGAGAGAAGAGAGACAGCAGAGAGAAACAGGGGAGAGAGCGTGAGGAGAGAGAGAAGAGACAGCCAAGAGAGGGGGCTGGTTCACACCACAAAGTCTGCATTCCAGAGTGTTCGGCCTCTAGAACGCAAGCCGGCCGGCTCCCTGTGTCCAGGGGCGGGAGGGGGTGTGGCGGTGCATTGAAGTCAATGGCGCCACAGCCACACCCCTCCGCCCGCAGTGCGATCGCCCCCACACCTGGAAAGCAGGGACATTAGTGCCTGCGTTCCAGTCCAGGGCGATCTGCAAAAATAGTGCTTGCAGCACTAATGTGCCTGCGTTCCGAGTGCGGGCGATCGCACTGCGGTCGGGGGGAGTGGCTGCGTTTCCATTGACTTCAATGCACCGCCACGCCCCCTCCAGCCCCTGAATGCAGGTGTTTTTTTCGTTGGTAGATCTCATTGAGCTCTTCATTTGAAAAGTAGATCCCAAACGAAAAATTGTGGGCACCCCTGCCATAAATCTACAACTGCAGTCACAAAGCGGACAAGGGTCTCTTCTACCAACTCAACATCAATTTTACTGAGCAGACGTATGCAAATAAGTAAAGATAAAGCTTCATACTAAATGTCATTTTTTGTAGCAGGCTTCTAAGTACATATGGAGCCTACCCATGGAGGTTTTAAAGCTTCACTCAGCCTTGGCAGACCCAAAACGCCGACCTGTAGATAACACCATTTCAGCCTTTGGACCTTGATACTGGGTTACTAGGTCTGGCAAGAAGTGACATTACTGGAGTACAAATTACATGAAGGAAGACTTTAGTCAATACTCCCTGGTAAATGTATCCAAATAACCTCATCAATTCTCCTCATTAACTGGCGTACTGCATATATTTCCTGCTGACCTTTAGCCGCATTGTGATAATGAAGGTACAGACACAGCCTGATTTTGTATGAGAATATTTATTATTTCTAAAGATCTTACAACCTGGCATATTGTGATTTCATCCAAAGAAATATATACAGTATTCTTTTTCCGAAGCCATGTGTGCATATACAGTTATATTATACATAAAGGCAATTCACTTGCAACATAAGAACAATCAAAATAACTTAACTGAATGGCGGTCATTCTCTGACACTTGGAAGCATTAAACACTGAGTGAGTATGTTACAGAATGGAAAGAAAACATTTAAAGCAAAAACAATATTAAAAGAAAAAGACTATTACATTCAGAGAAATGGTATTCAGCAGATTGCAATAGATGTATATCAAAATAGAAGTATAGATACATATTTACTCTTATTTGTTTGAGAAGGAAAGATTATCCTGATTGGCTCAAATGACTGAGCAAGCTGAAGCTCTTTAATAAGCTGTATACATACATAACGGACGTGGACATCAGAAAAGGAAACAAGATTTTAGAAGACACTCCACACCTGCAGGAAGAAAAGCTGCAACCCATCAGAATTAACTAGTTGCTGCACAATAGAATTGGCCTTATTATTAAATAATCGTTAAAACATTTGCTGGTGAATTTAAACTTGAACCACCTGACATCATCAAATATGGATACAAGCTTTGTGTGGCAATGTAATCTGCAGTACCGAAAGGCTCCTCATTGTTCACGTTAATGAGCCTCTGAAAAGGAAACATGAGTTTCCTTACATAACGGGGCAATAAGGGAAAATAAACATTTTTGGAAGTCTAAAAGGAAACGTACTTAGATAAAGTTTATTGTCACATACTTCCTGCCCAATAATCTCATGGATGGATACTGCAGGCAGCCTGTGCTTAGTATACTATGGTGAATAACAAATAACAAAGGGTTATGCACTGTTATACTTAGCCTAAAGCTGAACTCCAGGCAGATATACATGAAGCAGTGTATGTACCTGAGATTGTATGCTGAGTGCTTGGTATCAGCCTTTTGCAATCCCCTATACAGCAGCAACTCAGACTAGGAAAGGGACAGGCAGGGCTGAGGAGCATCAGATGTGCCACATGTAAATGTGTTGACAAGAAACACACTGATAAAAGGAGAGGGCAGAGTGACAGAGAGAGAAGGTCAACAGTGTGCTGCTTCTTTCAAAGGCTGGGAGAGGAACAAGATCTGTAAGTGTATTTTACTGCAACAGAGGAAAATCAGGTCCCCGTTCCTGCCACATAGAACAGTGCTGCATGGCACAGCGGAACATGGTGGACATATTTACAAATCCTTTGTCAGGTTAAACAGCTCCCATGAATGTATTTCGGGTGTGTGTTTATTCAATTGCCTGGAATTAAGCTTTGATACACTGGAGTTGATTTACAAAAGGCAAAGAGGCTGTTTACTCTGCAAGGGAATTTGCACTTTGCACGGGGAAGTTAACTCTTAGTTTACTGAATGGGGTGAAGCTCCTCTGGCTACCAACACCCAATCGTGTGCAAGCACAAATACTGGTTTTGTTTTTCTTTGGTCCTTGCACGATTGGGTATTCTTTGCAAAGTGAAAATTCACCACATTCACCAAGCTACCGGAATACTTCCCCTGCAAAGTGTACAACCTATTTGCCTTTAGTAAATCAACCCCAATGTGTAATACTTCCGGAAAACTGCTAAAGTGTTTAAATGTGAGTTTCTTAAAAGGCCAGTAATCCTACAATACAAACTAGTGTATGCATAATAATGAATTTCATTTAAAATGTGCATTAATAGAATGAAACATTTTTATCTTAAAAGTGGTGATTGCGGAGACAGATTTGCCCCATACAACAGACTTCCTGTTCCATAACCCCAGTGGAAGAAAATGCAGTCGAGCTTCTTGTGAGCAGGAAATGGAGAATATAAAAAAAACAGCCTTTAGCTACACCACAAAGTGACTCCAGTACCTGGACAATAAGGAAATGTATGTCTGTGACTCTTATCATTAGCCTCTTCACTGGAAGCGGAATGTATTAAAAAAATGATGATGCCGTTAGCAGTTCCCTGATGGTTGGGCATTAGCATGTCTGTAAATTCATTAATAGATTTACATTTCTTTAAAATGTTGCCGATAACATTCCTTTACACTTAACCAACCAAGAGTAAATTTGTCTCGCATATCCAACGTTGGCCTTCAAAGAATTATATATATTTTAGTTTTCAGAATGATCATATGTTTTATATAAAAAAAGAAGCTTTCAAAGTGCCAAACATCACCTTTGTCAAATCATGTATTTTATAATGGAACTGAATATGACACATGCTGAAAGTCAGGATTTATATTACAGAAGTAGCGGCTTATAATTAAAGCTTGAGTTTTATACATTGATACGATATTACACAATGTCTCTTCCAAGTTCTGTTTTTTTGTTTGTTTGTTTTTTATAGTTGAAATCAATGCACAAATCAACACAAAAACGATGAAGAAACAGAAACAATTACTTCACATAACTGAAGATACATAAAAAGATTTAAAATAGTAATTAAATTAATAGGCTCTGCTTATCAAATGACGGGTGCTGATCGGTCGTTTGTGACGGTAGGTCGGAGCTTGACGGTAACAAATGGATTTTCTCCGCTGTAAAAGAAGAAATCCAATTATTTAAACTCAGAAAAAAGTCAACTGTGCAAAGAAAAGCATTCTTGTTTTGTTCTATAATCCATCATTTAAAGCAGAACTCTGTATGGACACATTGCTTAAAATCTGTTTTACAATAAAACATTCTTTGGTGAATGCAGCTAAAACATTCCTATTATAAAACTTTACATGATATTATATCACATTTTAGTCATGTTCAGTAAAAATCTTTCCTTTTAACAGAGAAAGATTTTTAAGCAAAGAATCGCCGTCTGTCTAATAATCCTTTATAGAAATCTACCATATATTATTTCATGATATAGTATTTATAGTATGACATAACTATGCTCTATCCTGGATTTTTGTAGAATGAAGATTTATATACATATAAAAAGTACCACACTTTGTGTTTTGGAGGTTATATTTACTCTTTATCTATTAACATAGCATACAGAGATTCTGGTTTTATAATATGGTGATGGATCTTTATTAGTATTCTTAGCACAATATTTATTAGTTGATGTTTTAGATGGAATAATTCTCTTATCACATTTCATTATGCTTTGTGTTTGAGCACACCTCTGATAAAGAGGTGTTTGATCCCCAAAACATGTTGTACTTTCCTACGATAAATAAAGTGGATCTTTGATTTCAAATACTTGACACTCCATCAACTCTGCTTTTGGCACTCTACCTTTCTGTCCTCCACTGCTTTTAAGTCACTGGAGTTTATTTACAGAAAGGCAGACAGGCTGTTCACTTTGCAAGAGAATTTTCCGGTAGCTTAGCGAATGTTTTGAAAATTCACTTTGCAAAAAATACCCAATCAGGTGAAAGGAAACACCCCCGCCCCCCCCAAAAAAAAGCAGAACCCCCCTAGCATTTTTGCTTGCACATGATAAGATGATGGAAGTCAGCAGAGCTTTGCCTCTTGCCTTAAGCAAATTCCATTACAAAGTGAAAATTCACTTGCAAAGTTAACATTTGCCTTTAGTAAATCAACCCCATTGACGCCGAACAATCCTGGGACAAGCTGGGTCAGTGAGGAGTCAGAACTCCTGGTCTACATACTAGATGTGTGGCTGTTACTCAGAAAGTACTTAATACAATGGATCAGCTTGACAGCCAGCTAATTAGTATTTTAAGCAGAAGAGCTATGGAAGCTTTGATATCTCACGCTAAACCAAGGAAAGAAATGTTATACCTTAGGAACGGATGTTTCATAACTCCATTGGGTGTTGGTTTCTGTGCTGATTTCTGAAAAAACAGGGGAAAAAATCATGCGTTAAACAGGTTGTATTTCCTTGTGCTGACTTTTGTCATTTGTATGTTATTGATTATTTCAAAGATAACAGTTTTTTCACTTGTCAAGGAATGGCCACGAGATGGTAGCAAGATACCACATCAATAACTTGTCCACAGCATGTTAGAAACTGCAACTATAAAAGCTGTTGTAGTGAAGACATCTAGAATTCTTTTTACGCAAGATTACACAGCTTTTATCCAAGATTCATACATTGTGGCAGGAAAAAAAAAAAATTAGAACCAGTGTGGTGAAGAGGCACTATCCCTTTGCCGTGACAGTGAGTTTCTAAACGGCCTCTTGCCCCAGTTACAGGCACATTACGGGCAATCCAGCACCAAAACCAGATGTTCTCTGGTCTGCTCCTGCTCTGCATTCTGTAGTCCCGGGCCCCCCAGAGGAGCAGAGGACCCCAAAACCACACCGGGCGCGGTGTGGGGGGATATGGTGGCAAGATCCTGGCTAGTACAAGCGACAAGGGACCATGGAGCCAGCTTTCCAGCCAATCAGGAAGCTGGACGGTGTGTAATGACTCGCCGCCTGGAGTCCTGATACTAGAAGTTCCGGTATCGGGAATAGTATCGAAGCATTTGAGCGAATACGAGTACTCACCCGAATACTCAGTGTCGGCACAGATACTGATACCAGTATCGGTATATCCCTAATGTAGGGTAAGTGTTCACTAATTATAATCAATTGATTACAACTGCTCATTTTAAAGTAATTTTCTCATTTCCAGTTAAGATTTGATTCCTAATATTTTTGTTGTTTACAAATCATTTTCAAATCAAAATCCTTTACGAATCAGCATTTGCTGTGCAGGTCATTCACTATCCGAGGATCACAACCTAGTTTATTTGTAGACTGAGATATGAAGATTAAAGTATATCGACAGACAACATTCCATCTCATCATGAGGCGCTCATCACTCATACAATACAATGCTTTGTTGTGTCGTAAACGGAAACCTAACATGTGGCAGTGTTACATCATACATAGGTTACAAAGTTTATTTTATGGCAGACACTCTCAATAGCTTGCTGTCACTTTGACCTCTACAATATCCGAATGGTTGAATCACTCACTTTTGCCTTCCAGCAATGTGGCTGGCAAAATCTGACACTCGTATCTGGAGCCATTCCACCCAAATCCTTTGGAATTCATAAATTTATAAACTCAGGAGTTAAATCCTAAAAACACATTCAAGTACCTTATCTATTAACATAAATGCATCTTATTTGTGTATCACTCGGCTGTACATCCTCAAATCATCTCTGAGTGTGTGCCAACACTGTCCTCCTTTCTGGAGGGTGACTACTTTTGTTCCCCTTTTGCTTCTGTAATGGACTACAATCGTACGTTTATTTTACTAATCTGTACTGAAGTTATAGTCTATCACGTGAGTGAGCTTGGTGCACACAAGGACAGCGTCAGCACCAATTCAGAGATGATTTGAGGAGCTACAGCCGAGTGATACACAAATAAGATATATTTTTGTTAAGGTACTTGAATGCATTTTTAAGATTTCTCTCCTGAGTTTAGTGTCACTGTAACTATGGATATTTACTCTCCCACTGCTTGTGAATGTGTTGAAAACCACTTCTGTGCTATTCATTTTCTAGCAAGAATCATCCCTAAGACCTCTGACCGTCTAGATTCCCAATGTTTTGCAACCCTCTCTGCATGTCAAAGGATATTTTGTCACATATCTATAAATAAAACACTGTGTACAGAACAGATAATGCCCTTTATATGCTTAGATACCAGTATATTTTCTATAACTGGTATCTTGTGAGATATCATAGAAATGGTTTTCCCATGGGCATTAAAGGCATGACGCGATTGAAGAGATTGATAGTAACACTGCTTAGCTATAGAAATATAGATTTCTCTTTTAACAATTTAAATTATTTTAGAGAGTCATTGCCCTTTAATCGTGTTAATTGCAGAACACCTTGTTTTTTCCAAAAGCTAAATCGCTTCAATTTCTTATACAGAGATTTACCCCAAATAGATGTAAAAAGGTAAATCCCTTTCTCTGTAATATATGCACAAAGAAACATCAAATAATCACTGCAAGTAGTTCTGTCATTTAAATTGTAGGATAGGCGATTATTTACTCGAACTCTTATTTGGGATACTTATATTTTTTTGGAAACCCCCTTATTTATGGACAGTGATGGAAGAGTTTCATTTCGGGTATAAAATAAGACCAGGCAATATTATCAACTGCCTTAGTGGTATATAAAGATAATATGCTCTGGTTTCCATATTATCTAAACTAGGGGTGCACAGATAAAGTTTTTTCGGTATCGAGTATTAATATATTTTCTTTGGTACTCGCCAATACCGAATACTGATACCGGCATCCGTAGGCCCGGATTATCAAGAAGCTGGAAGGTGGGTCACGATTTGCTGCCTGGCTTCCCGATTGACTGGGAAGCCGGTTTTCTATTGAACACCGGCTTCACATTCCAAGGCAGCCTGGCTTCCTGACCATTAAGGAAGCGGGGCGGCGGGTCGGGACTGCTGCTCGGCTTCCTGATTGGTCAGGAAGCCAGGCTGCCTAGCAACAAGTGGAGCTGGCTTCTTAGCCAATCAGGAATTGGGCGGCGGGTCATGGATTCCCGATTAGCCAGGAAGCCGGCTCAATGCTCCCTCCCGGCACTGCCGGTCACAGAGCTATCTCCCTCTGACCGGAAGTATCGAAGCATTTGGGCAAGTACGAGTACTTGCCCAAATACTCAGCATCGGTGCATCGTTGAATTATATAGGCCATAGACTTATTAGGAATAAAAAGCGGTCTAATCAGGATTTATACATTTATGTATTACTACGACCAAGCAATTTGCTTATATTTTTTAGCTATTTTACATCTACTGTCAACTGGGATGTTGCACAGTATGAATCTGAATACAAAGCATATTTACCTGGTTTCAATATAGCCACCAATATTACCTCATAGAAAATGGTAATAAATGCAGCTCAAAAGGCGCATATATAGTATCCTGTAAAGTTGACCCTAAGGCATTTTTAAGCTGAAAGGGCAAGTACTACAGGGCTCAGAGAAAGGATTTCCATTGTTTTCAGTGGCCCCTGTTCATATCAGAGTGTTCTGTTGCCTTTAGACAAACACCTGTCGCGGAAAAAAAGTAAATTTTTGGCAGAATTCAGCCCCACTGACTTCAATAGGAATGCCTTTAAACATGTCTTTTTAAGATTTTGTTTTTTGCATTTATTGTGTGTTTTCCATAACATCTTAAAATTACCCCCTTCAGTGTCCAAACAGACCGCACTCCAAGAATCTCCAATAATAATCCAAGCTTTATTAAAATCCACAATAAAGCATCAATATGTCAATATACACCAACACCGCAAACCTCCAGTACACAATCCTGAGGATTTCGGTGTAATGGGGGGGGTTTGTGCATTATTATTGGAGATCCTTGGACTGCATTGTTTGGACACTTAAGCGGTTGTAGGTGAGAACGCACCTGTTTGACCAGCACCACCGGAGGCTCCAGAACACGATTGTGGCCGGAGAATCGGAAAAGTGAGATCTACTTGCGTCTTTAAAAAAATCTTACAATGACCGTTTAGCAGTATATACATGACTGTAGAATAGACAAAATGTATCTACAATTTCAGGGGATGATGAAACCACTACTCCCATTTTATTCACTATTGCCCCAATATATGCCGGACGCAGTTGAGCACTTGCTTTAGTTGCTAATTATCAACTCTCTCCCTCTTCAAAATAATGTTGCTCGGCAAAAAACTATGTTCTGCTTTCTTGAATGTAGTTTTTCACCAAATCCTATGCCACTCCCCAATCCTTTAGAGAAATAGTAGTGGGGTTGCTACGATATTCTTCTGCTCTATTCACTTGCTCCATCACATTGTCTTCCCAATCTTTTAAATTAGCTTTAACAGCTGAAATGTCACCAAATGTTTATCAGGAGTTTGTCTGTGTACAAGATGTCTGAGAATAGCAAATGCATGGGAAAAGCGTTAGAGGTCTCAGAACCGCTCAGGGATTCTAGACAGGTAGCAGCAGGTAGGAAGCTAAAGGCAGGTTGGCGCACACTGCATCAATAAGAATCAAAATGGTCTCTTAAGCCTTGGAGTTATGGCAGCTACCATGTCTTTAGGGACAATATCATCCGGCAAGGATTTTTGAGACTCTTCATCAGATAAGGACCCCACAGAGGCCACTAAGGTTACAGGTGGGCCACGTAATGATTTTGCAAGGGAAGGCATTGAGGTACACCTGTGGTCACAAATATTAATCAAAATTGCAATTTGGCACATGAAATCCTTCATAACTGCAGTGAAATCCTCCTGCCAGGTAAGACCAAGGAGGGGACCACACATGACGGAGCTAAGAACGACTCAGAAGAATGTAGGGACTCAAGAAGGCAACAACATTGTAAGTTGTCATTATCAAGCCCTTGATAGCGAACAATGCAGGCTGCTCTGGAACGGTTAGTGGATTGTGAGCCATAGGGACTCGATACAGTGGGATTGCTCCTTGTGTGTTTGGGATCCAACATGTTGCTTCTCATGCAGGGACAACTTCACAAAAATACAAGGTCAAACTTTGGGTACTCGCACACTGGCTGATGGAAACAGGAAAGGGTTAAATCGCTGGAGGTGACTGTATACTGGGGCATGCTGGGAGTGGGAGGGGTTATATTAGGCTTTTTGGTTGGCAGTGTCCAAATTCTCCTGTAGGTGGCAGTAAAACCCAAATGTCTTTGAATCCTGTGTCCCTCAATGAATGAGAAAAAAAAGCGATTTGTATTAACAGCGCCATGTGCTGCTATTTTCTAGCTAAGAAGCAAGAATAGTCTGTGGCACTGTAAAGTTTCCAAATATTTTTGGATTTACATTGGAAGCAGTGAAGTTACACGGTTAGCTGTAAGAAACCTGTATTTTAGGTAAGTAAGCTGCACGTGTCTGTGTCCCTATGAGGTAAATTTACCCTCTCTGATTGACAATGGTCACCAGAATACAAACTGACGCAAAATCAAATATTTTTTAGTTCTTAACAAGTGAGGAAATCTTTCAATAGGGACACCTGTCCTCCTCACTTCCTGTTGTGTCTCCAGGACAGGAAGTGCTGGGAAATCTCCCCAATAGGACCAAACATAGCTCTACTTTATTCCTAATTTAAAGCCTGGGATTGTCAGCTACTGCCATAAAAAATTAAAAGGTTACACCGAGATTTTTTTCAGCAGGTGGAGGGCTTCAACGTACAAATGATCTCGATTGCTCTAGAGATGCCTGATCACGTGCATTGGTCTGTGAAGGCGCAGACCCCCCCCCCCCCCCC